CTGAGCAACACTTCATGAACACACACACACACACACTTCAGTTGTGGCACTAATGTTGCCAGCTTGGACGTTTGTCTGTTTTTCAGAAACTTCTCTCCTGGGCTCAGCTGCTCCGGCAGGTTCTTCAGATCCCTTGAAGCTGACTGATTCCAGATTTGTGGAGATGAATCACGTCTGGTTGTGCGTGAGAAGAGACGACCTTTTCCTAATTTGTTGTGAGCTTTGTTTGTCTTACTCACCATGTGTGCTTATGTGTGAGGAAACACCGGATCTTGAACAGGACAATGTTTAAATCTGCTGGTTGGTAGCAGATGCTGAACATTGAATTTGCATTAATTCACTTCCCATGTGGGTCCTGCAGAAAAACTTTTAAGCTAATTAGAGGCCAAGCGTTCCTGAAAGGAATTCATATCACCCTCCTCTTTTCATGCCTGAGTTTCAAACAAAGACCATTTTATGTTAGGAAAAAGGCAATTATAGCAATTTTTGGAAAAACATGAAAAATAACATTAATGTAATCTCATGTGATTTTGTCATATCTTGCATGTAAGGGTGCATTCACACCAGCCCTGTTTAGTCCGCTTTAATCGAACTCTAGCTCGTTTTCCTTAAAAGTCCGGTTCGTTTAGGGAGGTGTGAACGCACCATCGAACTCTGTCACGGAACAAAAAGGCAAACTCTGGCCCGGGCTAAAACCTAGATCTGGGTCCAGTAGAAGAGAACTCCAGCGCGGTTCGAGTACAGTGTGAATGTAATCAGACTGAGCTCCGCTCCGCAGGACAAACACATTTCTCTTATATGGAGCCGTCAGCTGCCTTGTGTGGAAAAACAACATTCTCCATGGTCTTCTGTCTCTTCTTCTGCTCATGCTGAGTCCATTGTTGAAAAATGACAAAATTTAACTCCTAAAACTGTTAAAACTTGATGCCACTTCGTTTTTATTTTTATTTCCAGAAGAAGAAGAAGAAGTGTCTTCAGAGGTTTTTGTGTTGTTTCTTTCAGTAGTTCTTGGTGCAGCGCCCCCACAGGCGAGCGGGGGAACAGGTTGGTTCAACAGGTTGGCTCGACTGCACAGTGCAGTGTGAATGCAAACGCACCAGCTCAAATGTAAAAAAAAGGTCATGAATATTGGTCCCGAACCGAATCGAGTCTACCGGACTATCTGGTGTGAAAACGACCTAAATGAGTCCGCGAGACCCAACGAGACTATTCTGTATAAATGAAGGTTGAATGAATGAAAACAGAGATTAATTCATTGGTTTTCAAACTGGGGTCTCTGGACCACCAAAATGCAGAAAATCACATCTACGTTATTCAAAATTTTCTGGGGGAGGACCCCTCGCCCCCCTTACCAGCCCACCCACTATTTGTGTTCCAGCATCGATCAGTTTACAAATGAAGCTCTGTTACTGGGTCTGATTACTGCTGTTCTGATTCTCTTCAGTTTTATGTAAAGAGTTTTCTGTAACAATTTGAAGAAGTGACAAAATGTTTATTTATGTTTAAGTGAATAGGTAAAGTTTTAAAGTGGTGTTTGATGCTGTTAATTTTTTCAAAACTGTAATCTTTGGAAGATTAAATTACTTTGT